CATAAGGCAAAGTCATGTACACACATAATGAATTTTTGAAAAGAGACTGATCTTAAGTCAGAAGAAATGCAGTTTTACAAAGGAACCAAGGTAATTTTAACTGCATATATCTGGTCAGATCTTGTCTAAGCCAGAAGACACTTGGCTTATGAGTTAAATACTAAAAGAAAACCTTAACTGTGAGTCTTGTACATAGCACAAAGCTCTTTTTTTTTTCTAGCCAACAAGAGCTAACCAAGGACCTGGAACTCCATAACTTAGTGGTAGCACACACCGTCTAGGGTTCCAGTTCCAGCCCAAGAAGAAAACAAAAGGCTGTCTAGCATGGTACCCATAATTCTAGCACAAAAGAGGCTGAGGCAGGAGGATTTTAAGTACATGGCCAACCTGGGTTGTTACATAGTGAGACATTGTCTTAAAAACAAAAATAAGAAAACCCCAGCACTAAAAAAAGAAAAACTAACAACTTATTGCCAAAAGAATTATACTTCAGGAAATGCCAAGGGATGTTCTGATAGAAGAAGACTGTAGCACTTATTCTAATTGTCTTAATAATAAAATCTCAGAGTTAGATATGGGCGGGGGTGGGGGTGGGGGGTGTGTGTGTGAAAGATCAGAGAAACAAAACAGCCGACCAAAGGGGTGGGGCAATCCTGTCCTCAGACTGCGCTGAGCACCATCTCTTCCTGGCTTATATTCCTGTCTCCACCTGAGATTAAATGTGTGTGATCCCAGCATCTGGGATCACACACATCTTTGTGTGAGCTCTGTTTCTCTTTTAGACTCAGTCAGTTTCATGTAGCCCAGGGTGGCCTTGACTCCACAGAGATCCATCTACCTCTGTCTCCTGAGTCCTGGGATTTAAGGTGTGTGCCACCACTGCCTGACCTCTTTGGCTAACTAGTGTGGCTAGCTTTGCACTCTGATCTTCAGTCAAGCTTTTTTTTTTTTTTTTTTTTTTTTTGAGTTTTTTTTTTTTTTTTTTTTTTAAAATGCTGGGAATTGGAGTCACCATGTGGTTGCTGGGAATTGGAGTCACCATGTGGTTGCTGGGAATTGAACCCAGGACCTCTGGAAGAACAGTCAGTACTCTTAACCGCTGAGCCATCTCTCCAGCCCCTTCAGTCAAGCTTTATTTGTTAGATCATAAACAGAATATCACCACAGAAGACAATGTAGAAACTTTTGTAAAAGAATGGTAAGAAACCAAGATGGTCCATAAAGGGCTTATTTTACTTTAAGTAGCTTTTGAAAAATTGGCTATTTAAGGTGAAAAATAAATGATGTATTTTGGAAGTTGTAATACTTGTAGAGGTAAATAATAACAGAACAAAGATGGAAGGAAGAAAATGCAAGAAGTGGGTTTTGTTTCTTTTGTTTTTGGTTTTCTTTGACAGTCTCTATGTATCTTAGACTGGCATGGAGTCTATGATCCTCCAGTCTCTCTCCAGTTTTCTGAATGCTGGGATTAGAGGCATGTGCCACTGTGCCTCGCTATAGAACTATGTAAGATTTTATACTGTGAAAAATTTATGATGTATATTATATCAGGGAAATATTTCTCAGGAAAAAAACAATTGCCAACATCAGAAATGTACAATGGGACATTACAGATCACCGGCTGAAGCATGATAGTATGAATATCTTTATGCCAGCAGTTTGACAAATGAACACAATTGTCGAGTCTTACTCAAGGAAAGACATAATTCTTTATTATATTTATGAAAGAGTGTATACTTTGGTCTAATAAGAAAGCTGAGTAGGTGAAGGCCAAGAACCTTGAGGACTGGAGTTCAGTCTCTGGGACTCGCATGACCAAGTCGACCACCAACTCTGCAAGCTGTTCTCAGATTTCACACATGCTTTGTGGCGTGTGTGCATCCACACACGTACACAAAATAAATAAATGCAATTTTAAAAGAAACTTAAAAATTTTCAAAAAAGAAAAAAGTTTGAAAAAGAATTCATTTAAAATACCTGAAAGAAGACTATGTACACAATATTTTACTGGCAAATCTTGCTAAATGTTTAAGAGAAAGAACATTGAGGCTAGAGAGATGGCTCAATGGTTAAGAGCACTTGTTCTCTTACAGAGGACCTGGGTTCACTTCCCAGGACCCTCATAGTGGCTCATGACCATCGGTAACTCCAGTTCTAGGGATCCAGTGTCTATAGGCACCAGGCATGCACATAGTGCCCCTACATGCATGCAGACAAAACATTCATTAAAAAATCTAAAAATAAGGGAAAATAATAATTGGACAAAAGCTTTTTTCAAAAAATAGAATAGAAAATATTTTCTAATCAGTTCTTCAATGCTGGCACTATCCTAATTGCAAGACCAGACAAGACATTTTGAAGACAAACTTCTATGACAGATTCTGTAAATCAAAGAAAAATTCCCCCATACATTTGGAAATCAAATCTGTATAGCAACAGATAAAGTGGTTCTCCATAGTGGCCAGGAGAAGTTTATCTCAGAAATGAGAGGTGAGTTTAACATTGGGAAATTCATTGTGGCCAACTGAAATAATAGAACAAAGAGAAAAACCACAGTGATGCAGAAATGGGAAATAGAAAACACAGAAGGCAGAAGACAGGTAAAATGATGCCTTCCTTGGACGTCAGTGAGGACAAAAAGGAGGGGAAGAGAGGGAGATGGGTGGCTAGGTACAGAAGTATCTTGGAAAGGTAGTGGTTGAAAATGTTCAGATCATATGTAAGATACACACTGAAGGCAGCAGGATCAGGAGTTCAAGGTTACTCTCAGCTACATAGTTGAGTTGGAGGCCAGTGTGAGCTACACAAGACCCTGTCTTAAGAATACAAAAGTTCAGTATCTAACAGATAAATGACTGTTAGATAAAGCACAGTGGTTTGCAGGTTTTGAACACATACACAATGTGTACATGTGGAGTAGAGGAATGTGAGCGGAGTTAATGGCTTCCGGTTTTTGTCACCCAAAGAAATGGTAACACTTTGCAAATGTTGGGCCTTGACAAGTCACCCTTGGTGTTATAATTTCTAAATAATAAAGAAAAGAAAGAGAGTATGTAACTTAATGACCAAGAAGCAAGGACAGGAACGGTTACTAATTCAAAAGAAGGCAGTGGGAGACCCTTATAAAAGAGCAGAATGAAACCCAAATATGAGAAATCACTTCTAGTGTAACTGGATCAAGTGTTCCAGTTAAAAGATAAAAATATTAGGGCTGGCGAGATGGCTTGGTAGTGAAGAGCAGTGAAGACAGTGAGTGTCTTCCAAAGGTCCTGAGTTTAATTCCCAGCAACCACATGATGGCTCTCAACCTTTTATAATAGGTTCTGATGCCCTCTTCTGGTGTTCAGCCATACAATCAGACACAGCACTCATATATAAAATATAAATATTAAAAAATACTTTAAAATATAAAAATATTAAATTGGAATTCTAAGAAATGTAAGTCAGAGCTGTTCACTAGGGTATAAGGATTCAGAAATGTTGAAATCAAAATGAAGAGAAACATATCACACAGATACCAAACAGATACATAGTTATATAAAATCAGATAAAATGCACACATTGACAGACACAGTACTGAAGGCAAGGGTCTCAAACAGTCAAACATCAACAGCTTATTAATGTATTCATTTCCTGTCATATAGAGGTCCTGAACAGCCTGTCCTAGTAGGCAGATTGCTTTCCACAGGTAATTTAGGGATTTAAGGTGTTTTATTTTTTAATTTAAAATGTATCTCGTGTGTGTGTGTGTGTGTGTGTGTGTGTGTGTGTGTGTGTGTGTGTGTGTCTATGTGCCTATATGTTTGAGGCAGATGTAGCAGAAAGATCTTCTGAGGTTCATATTTGCTCTCAGTCAGAAAGTTTGGACCAAGGATTAGGTGGCCAAGTTGTGGATTTATACTCCAATATTACATGATAATGGAAACAAACCAGAGTTATGGCAGCATCAGTGTTGAACAACAGAAAACAAATTGAGACTATATACAGGCGTGGTGGTGCACATCTTTAATCTCAGTTATTCAGAGGTAGAGGTAGGCAGGTCTCTTTGAGATTGAAGCCAGCCTGGTCTACATACACAGAAAATGATTTCTGTTTATATAAAATTCAGAAGCAAGCAAAAAATAAGAAATGAAACCCATGTTCTAGGGTTGTTTACCTGGGTTTTAATCTAAGTAAGAAAAGCAAAGAAATACAACCATAAAAATTAAGGTGCTGGTTTCTTTTTGTTTTTCTCTCTCTCTCTCTCTCTTTTTCCTTTTTTCCTTTTTTAGGTCTTTTAGGTTTTTCCATGTAGTCTTGGCTGTCTTGGAACTATAGACCAGGCTGGCCTTGAACTCAGAGAGATCTACCTGCCACTGCCTCCCAAGTGCTGGGATTAAAGGTGTGCCCTACCACCACCCGCCCGGCCAAGGTAGTGGTTTCTTGGAGGTTGCAGAGTCATTGAGACCATAGCAAGGCATTCCGTGTTTGTGGAGTTCTGGCAATACTCCATTACCTGGCCAGGTTGGTACTAGGCTTAGTGTGTAATAACCATGGTAACACTGTGTGAGTGTTCTCTGAACTTTGCTGTCTATATGTAATAGTTTAGCATAAAAGGAAAAAAGAATCAGACTTTGGGGGCTGGAGAGGTAGCTCAGAGGTTGAGAGCACTGGCTGCTCTTCCAGAGGTCCTGAGTTCAATTCCCAGCAACCACATGGTGGCTCACAACCATCTGTAATGGGATTTGGTGCCCTCTTCTGGTGTGCAGGCATACATGCAGGCAGAACAGTATATACATAATAAATAAATAAATCTTTTAAAAAAGAATCAGACTTTATAATGCATTGTATGATTTTTAAAGTATAGAAAAATCATAGTACATGTGCATATAGAATGATTAAAATACTTATCTTGAACTTTGTCATTTTGTAAAAATGCATGCTCTGAAATTCTGTGTTTTAGAGCTTTTCACATTTTTCAGATGAAAGATGACTAGACCTTCCTTCCTCTTGATTCCCAGGTATAAGATCCCTGTTACTTGAAGGATAAGGCTGGCACTGCTCAACGTCTTTGTGGAAGCTTCACTCCTGAGCCTCCCTGAACTTCCTTACAGCATATGACACAGGTATGCTGTTAGGAGTTTTAATGTGGGCAGGCTTCTTTCTCAAGCTGTTACCTTTTGCTTTGCATAAAAATAATATAGTTCGCCATGCTGTTGTGGTGCAAACTGGGCCTGTAATCTCAGCACTGGGGAGGCAGAGACAGGTGGGTCTCAGTGAGTTCGAGACCATCCTGGTCCATATAGTGTGTTCCAGGACAGCCAGTGTTGTTACACAGATAAACCTTGTCTTGAAAAAATATAAATAAATAAACCCTAGGTTTTGGTTTATGTTTAACTGTATCTTTCAGCTTTCTTTTCTTTCTGTTTTATGATTTAGTGTGTGTGCATCTGTGTGTGTGCATGAGTGTGTGTGTGTTTTGCGGTTTGTGCAGCAGAGTGCCGCACATCTGTGAAGTCCAGAAGAGGATACAAAAATACCCTGGAGCTAGAAGTACAGGCATTTGTGAGCCATCTGATAATGGTGTTGGGATGTAAACTTGGGACTTTTAAAAAACAGTACAGGTCTTTTTTTTTTTTTTTTTTTTTTTTAACAGTACAGGTCTTAACCGGTGAACCGTCTCTTCTTTCCTATTTTTTTTTAATTCTTTTTTTTTTTTAAGATTTCATTTATCATGTATACAGTCTTCTGTCTGCATGTGCCCTGCAGGCCAGCAGAGGGCACCAGATCTCATTCAAGGTGGTTGCTGGGACTTGAACTCAGGACCTCTGGAAGAGCAGTCGGTGCTCTTAACCTCTAAGCCATCTCTCCAGCCCCCCCTTTTTCAGTTTTTTAAGGCCAACATAAAACTATGATCACAATGGACAGGGCCTCTGGGGCTAAAGAATGATTTAATAACTTTGAAAAATACGAGTAGTGCCTGGCGTTGGTGGCGCACACCTTTAATCCTAGCACTCAGGAGGCAGAGGCAGGTGGGTCTTTGTGAGTTTCAAGGCCAGCCTGGTCTACAGAGCGAGTGCCAGGACAGCCAAAGCTACACAGAGAAACCCTGCCTCGAAAAACTATGTATGTATGTGTACACACACACACACACACACACACACACACACACACACACACGGGACTATGCCTTTGCCTTCTTAACCATCTTTCAGTAGGGACTTAAAAGGGGACAAATAATACTGTTTTCATTCCTAATTTATGATTGAAGAAAAGAAATAAGGAAAGGACATGACTGCTCCTAGGTATGGTGGTGATTGAGTGGCATTTTATACTTGGAGTTAAAAACCTATAATATTTTACCACATTAAGATAAATACAAAAAGAGTTTGAAGTTTTACAAATTAGAGTTAATACATAGCTTCTTTTGATCAGATGGAAAGTAGCTGGAAAACTGTCCCTTGTCTCATTTCTAAAGGCAGTACCATCACAGTGTCACCCCCACCCCACAGTTAGCAGTGGTTTCAGTTTGTGAAGTGGGGCCTGTAGCCAGTGCTCTCCTTATTCATTATAATCTTCCCCACCCAGTTCCCTGCAATTCTTTTGTGCTGTAAATTCCAGGCTGGTTGTCCTGTGACCAGACCTTCCCTTGCCTGGCTGTGACCATTGGCACTGAACATGTGACAGGTGGGTATGTGCAAAGGCTGACTCCCTGGCTTCATCAGCCCTCCTTGTAGGTGCTCAGTGCTCGTGTGTTCTTGTCGGGAGGCACAGGGTCTGCTCCTACTCAATGCTTAGTCCCTAGAGCCTGCTGAATGCTTCTGGTCTGACTTTGTCATGTATTCTCCCTTGAATAACTGAAATGCTTCTGTATCATTGTGTCAGTAGTTCCCTCATTGGGTGTTCACATAGGGACATAAGGGACAGTTCACATAGGATATAGGATAAATGCATTCCTGAGTCTTTATTTCTGTAACTTCTCTAGTTCTATCATCACTTGGGATGTAACCAGTTGTTACTTGAGAATTGAATGACGTTTTTGGATATTCTTAGAGCTGGTCAGATGCCACTTGTGGCCAGCAGAGCCTTCTGGTGGCTAGCCATAGTGTGTGGCCTGCAGCAGAGCCCACCCTCCCCCTTTCTGGTCTCTGCTCATCTTGAACTTTCTTTGCTGCCACCTGCAACTGCTGCCTTTCTCAGCAGCCCTGGTTTCCTTTGTGGGAAGTGGGATCTTGAGTCCCTAGGACTCAAGATGAGAGCCACTGTGGGCACTCATGATCTGGGAGCTTGCCAAGCTGAGTGCTCCTGCTGTGCAGCTGCTAATCATTTCTGTTCCTTGACACAGTCTTCACTTTCGGGTATTGGAGTTTATTTCTTTGATTTTTGTATTTACCTTTCTTTTCCCTCATGTTGAAAATCTTGGTTCCTAACAGACTTAACATATTCACTCAGTTGTTTTAACTTGGAAAAGTAAGTGATTGTTTTAAATAACAATGCCAGCATATCACCAGCATTATACTACCAACATAGCTTTGTATTTCCTGCAGTTTTTCTGTCGTTGGACTGCCAAACAGCTGCCTTTTAAGTTCCTTGAGTCATGTGTTAATTTGAATGAAAACAGCCCCCATGGGCTCATATATTTGAATGCTTGTCCCCCAGGAGGTGTGTCCTAATTGGAAGAGGTGTGTCATTGAGGGTAGGCTTTGAGGTTTCAAAAGACTAATGCCATTCCTCGTGTCTCACTCTCTCTGCCTCCTGCTTATGGATTGAAATGTAAGCTCTCAGCTACTGCTCCAGTACCATGCCTGCCTGCCTGCTGCCATGCTTTCTGTCATGGACTCACCCCCTAAAACTGTTAGCCCAAATGAACTCTTTCTTCTCTTAGCTGCTATAGCAATAGCAGATAAGACATTCCCTTGCAGCAGTACCAACTGGTTACATAGTTAAATGCACTTATTTCACTATTTATTAAGGGAAGAGGTTCTTTTTCATTTTATTAGTATTGTGGCTTTACAAAATGTTTTCATGATTCCAAGTCACAATTAAATACTTTTCTAAAGTCCTAGCTTCTATTCCTAATCCTTCTCCACAGTGACCAAAAAATAGAAAGCTAAAGTTTCTCATATATTTCCAGAGTCGGAGAGGAAGAGGTGTTCTCTCTCTTGGGGCCCCTGCCTCTCCCCCCCCCCCCCAGGTATCACAGTATTAAGTGTTGAGTGAAGGAGAGGGGAGGGTTTAGATTAGAGGTGGGGCAGAGTTCAAACCCAGCAGAAGAGGGGGAGTCTGAGAGAGGGTGGAAGGAGAAATGAAAGCCAGTGACTGGAAGACCACATTTTATTACATCGTAAGTCCCTCCTTGTTTGTTTGTTTGTTTATTGGTTTTCTGAGACAGGGTTTCTCTGTAGCTTTGGAGCCTATCCTGGCACTCGCTCTGGAGACCAGGCTGGCATAGAACTCACAGAGATCCACCTGCCTCTGCCTCCTGAGTGCTGGGATTAAAGGTGTGCTCCACCAACGCCGGGCTCGTAAGTCCCTCTTTAACAGAGTCATCTTTCTTGCTCTGAGTCCATTTTCCTATAAAGGTAACACTCTAGGAAAGGGAAATGCAGCCTGCCTCCCCCATCTTCCACCCCCTTTCTGGTGGATGGGCAGAACCTCCCCTGAAAAGATGCTGGTGCTGGAGACCTGCAGAGTGACTTAGCTCTGGGTTCTGCTCCTGCCTTTCTGTCTAGATGCCAGGACTCCAGCTATGGGCCAGGAGAGCTACAGGTCTGCATCTAACAGGTGCTTTTAATCTCCTAAATCGGGGGCTGGAGAGATGGCTCAGCACCTAAGAACACTTACTGTTCTTGGAGAAGACCTGGTTTTGGTTCCCAGCATCAACATTCAGTTAAAAATGGCCTATAACTCTAGTTTCAGGGAATCCAATGCCATCTTCTTGCCTCTCTGAGTCCCATGTGTTGGAACACATATAGGTGAGATAAAATACTCATACATACAAAATAAAAATAACTGAATCTTCAGAAATAAATGTCCTAAATTATATGAACCAAGAAGTAATGTAGAGCTACAAGTGGATGCTATTTTCTTATACTTACAAGATATTAACTGTAATTTAGTTTTTTGCTTCTGTCAGTTTGAGTGGGCCGGTCTGTGTGTCTCATTCTCTCTTTGTATCAGGCCTTTTAATAAGATAATTGATCTTGTTAAGTTGACTGAATTTAGACTCACCATGGAAACACACCTCTGGATGTGTTTATGAACATGTTTCCAGAAAGGGTTACTAGAAGACCATCACATGTACAGACTGCATACACCATGGGTAAGGCAGTAGAATAATTTAAAAGAGAAAGCCAGCTGATCATCACTTCATCTCTGTGCTACCTCACTGCCCATAGTGTGACAGCCACCTCCTGCTCACCATGCCGAACTGAACCCTCAACTGTGAACTAAAGTAAACCCTTTCTTCCTCCCTCCCTCCCTTCCTCCCTCCCTTCCCCCCTTCCTCCTTCCTTCCTTCAGTTGCCTTGGTCAGATAGGTAACAAAAGAGCCGCAGTTAGTAAGACATGGGTGTCTATGCTCTATGCACTTGTTTGCCCCACCTTCTCTCCCCTGTACTTCGCAGTAGGGACCGTGGACTTTCTGCCACAGTGTAGCATTGGTTGTCAGGAGTCATCAAGGGTGCTGCAGGTTTCCAGGAGGTCACACCTGCCTTCTCCCCTCCCTCCCTCATTGGCCTCACTGGATGGCACCAGTTCCCTTCTGGACTTGTATGTTAAGCTTGTTCTCTGCATGAATGCTGTTTCATCCTTTCTTGCTGGCAGGAGCCATTTTCTTTGTTTAGCTGATGCTTCCCTTTTTCGGTTTTCCCCGGGCTTTCCAGTTTTTTGGATCTTTCTTTTGTCAGCAGATGTACTTTGTTTCTAGTTTCTAAGCTCCAAAATTAAAATGTAGAGAAATCACGAGAGTAGAAACCTTAATGCTGAAGTTCAGAGTGCGAAGTCACCATCATCCGTCGTGTCTGCTGCCTCACACGTGTAAGCCAGGCATACACAGCAGCTGAAAACTGTAAAGCTTGTGTCCTCATGGCAGGTAAAAGGAGGCCTTCAGATACAGTCAATTTCC